CGAAAACAATCGCCAGCAGCGCCTAATATATCTAGTGAAGTCCTTGGCTGGTTGTTGTGTTTGATTCGACATTGTTCTTGATTGATGGCCTTGTGACTTCAATTTCCGATTTTTCTCCCCAATCTCTGCTCTGTTGCAAAAAAGTATTCGACAATCAATCAATTCTTGCCTGAATGTAGAGCCAAATCGATCGTTAGGACCATCTGATATTGTTGTAGGGTTTGCAGGCTGATTGTAGTGTTTGATTTGACGTTGATCTTGAGCCACGGCCATGCACCTGAATTCAAAAAGTTTTACTTACAACGGTCGTTTGAAAAAGTCGAGACAAGTGTCAAAGATGTAGAATCAGGCTTTTGCCACAGTTTCCATGGTAGCATACATGTGCAATTTCTCCAGACAATAACTACATCAAGTGATTCAAGCCCAGGAGTGGAGGCGGCACGGGGTAATCTTCAATTATGTGATATCTTTAACATGAATTTGGACCTATCAAAGTACTTCCATGTTAAACACACCCTTGGGTGAACGCAGTGCAGACGTCAATTGTCAAACACCAAAACCTCACCACTATGGAAATTAAAGAACTCTTCCCTGGCTTAAAATTTGATTGAATTTTGTGGTTGAATGGTATTATACTGTATTTTACCTAGTTGTGAGATGTTATGGGAGAAAATTGTTGCCTAGATAAAACCGGAAACCCGCTCAGCAACAGCAGCAGTGCACTACCATTCAGCCATGATCTGTAGATTTTTGTCATTGTTTATTTGCTAGGGGAGGGGGATGTCACATTCCTCATTACTCTTCCATGTTTCATCTTTGAGCGCTATTCTGAGGAAGCACGCTGGCTTGTAGGTATCAATCATTGGAGAATTTGCTGCTGCTACCCCTGAAACCTTGTATTGCATCAGCTACAGTTGCAAGTGCCTTCATATGCTATGTATTCTGGGTATTTCACACAATCCGCATGAAAGCTCCCCAGTTCTGATTTCTTTCACTCTGCTTGCTTCATGACAGGCAGTGCCCATGCTGATTTGCAAGCCAACTAGAAGATGGACAAAACAACCTCATTCCATCTGCTGAAAAGAGTTTGCCTCCATCCGCTTTGTTGTCTGGGGATCTCAGATGCTTCCATTCTTTCAGTCTGCACAGCGGATGACAGCAATCATACCGATCTTCAAAGCCAACAAGGAGCAAGGAGATAGCAAATCAATATTATTCCCCTTGTGGGCAACACTGACTCCAGTAGTATCCAGCTTGCTCATTTCAGCCCCCACGGCGGTAGATTGTTGGTGAAAAGTATGTTTCTTCACTTCTTCAGTGCCAATCTTGTCTTCTCGGTTTTGGGTAACAAGACTAGCCAGCACTGTGGCTTCATCTCGTTGGATTACAAGAAAAACACATCAATAATTACCAACTTTTGCAGCTGTTGTCATCAATCTATTCTTTGGGGCATCTGAATGGGCCTAGCACTGAATTATAGTTGCTATCTTCTATATGTTGCTGACCAAAGCCAACAATTTGTGTCACTAAATTAGAAACTTATTCGTTGGATTCACTCATTTTATACGTCACTGCATACTTTACTTTCAATGCAACTGCTGGCTAGAAGTTTTCTTGAAGTTACTGTAGGTTTGAAAATGCATCATCAACTCAGTTCTTGTGTTTACACCCATGTAGAAGCAATCGAATAAAGCTGCCCTGGGAAAGAAGACAGATCACTTTGCCGATCAGGCATCAGGCGCTGCCACTGTGGCATATGCCAGGGGTGTAAGCTGTCCAATACTTGTTTTCATCTCATCTGTAAAGTGGGCAATGGGGCTCCTTCCTTGGTCCCGCATTTGCTTCAAGCTTTTTTGCATCTGCTTTACATTTGAGCAAAGCTTTTCATTTGTTGATTGAAACAGTGGCAGATCCAACCCAACCATCTTCAGCCCAATCGGAGAATAGCAATCTCTCTGCCCATGCCCACATGTCCATACGTGTGCATGAGTGGATGGTTCTATTTGCTCGCACTCAAACGATTCCGTTCCATGGGAACGCTGATAACCAATATTATGGTACAGAGCAAAGTAGTAGAAGTCACTAGCGGAGTCTGAGGACCCATCACGATCACTGCCATGAAAGGCAAATTCCCGGCCCAATTTCCAGCCTGCTGATGCGGGGTAGTCGGAGTCATGTTTGCTTACAACATTCTTTGTTTGGATTGCGAGTGTGCCAACAACATTTGAATAAGTAGCATCCATCAGCGGAATCTCATGATCAATTCCATTTTGACCAGGCTTGCAGACCGTAGCTGCGCGTCTTCTTGCAATCTGCTCGAACGCGCTGGCGTCAGGGACGTAATATAAAGGGAGGAAATGATTGAACCAAACGTATTTTGTCTTTAGGTTCTCAATCTGTGTTCCACCATTACCACTTGCGTCAATTGAATCTCCCACAAGGACTTTCAGGAAGTCATAGGCACTGACTCCCTTGTGTTTGGAACGGCCAGCCATCTCCATCTTTGCCATATCCATCGCTAGCAAGAGCACTATTCTGTGGATCAATTCACCAATTTTTCCTGTATCAACATCTGCTTCCTGGATCGCAAGCTGTAACTGCTCCAGACTGGTCTTCCAACCAGAAAAGTCTGCTTCTGGTCCAAGCAACGCAGAACGGCTCCCTTCAGCAAGTATAGGTTCAGAAGGGTAATTAATGAGAATGGCTTCTCGATCGTTGTACACATGTGAGCAGACGGCCATATGACCGCCCACCAGCTCGGAAGCAAAGCGGCGTCCAGGGTGAATACGAAGTGCGGCTCGGCATGCCAAACATGCAATCGCAGCTGCCTTTTTATGGTCACCATCGAGCTTTGCTAGGAGCTTTTCAGATCTGAGAAGTTTAAATCTTGCAAATTGAAGAAGGTTTGCCATTGTCAATCGATTCTTATTTTTCTGGAGGAACATTTCATAAGCATGCCAAAGCGGTCGGCCATATTTTGATAATTCGTTGTTGTTGTTGCTGTCAATGAATAGATCCAAGCAGTTGACAAAGTAAAATGGAGGCAACAGATATCCTTGATTTACCGACGTTGCCCGTGCAGAAGAGTCTAGGTGTCTAGCTGGCGCAAAGTTGGTCAAAGTTGATAAGGTGTCGGTAAATACCGCAAAGACACTCATCTTACTTGAAAAATAGCCTTTGCAAAAGCAACGTCGAACATCGCGGAAAATATTCTCTTCCAACAATGTCCTTCCTTCATCCATGAAAAAGATGAAATTATCTTCGAACCCATCTTTCGATCCAGCCTGGTTCTCAAAGCGCCTTTCCTCCCATACTACGTTAGCACGATTCTTTAACTTTGTTTGAAAGACAAGGAAATCGGTTTCTTCCCCCCCTTTTTGATGATTGAACCAATCCTCAGGAGTTGGTGGATTTTCTTTTTCTTTCTTCCACTCATCAAACCAGCTTTCGAAAAGCTCCTGCGTCGCTCGCATGACAGCTAGAAAGCGCAGCATGTGGCGAGTAGTCTTGGCGCTGGGTAAAGTTCCCGCTGCTAGTGCAGAAGATTGAAAAAGCGACGTTGTATTGCCATCTTCTACCTCTGATTGAATCAACCAGTTCATAACTGGGGACCGAGGTGGATATGTCCTGCCGTCTGTAGATCGTCGAAAGCATAAGTAGACTCCAAATATCTTGGATTTGAGCGAACTGAAGATCAGATGAGTTTTGCCCATACCCGAAGACTGAAATAATACAGTGTAGCCTGCGTAGTAGGTATCGCTACCTCCCCATTGAGCAATTTGTCCATTCAAATGCTTGCAAAAGTTGAAAACAACGTTATTTGGATCTTCATGCTTTCGGAGGTCGTCATGAAATAGGTTGACACGTTGATTTTCGATATTCTTGTTCGCTGATTGTTTCTGGGCTTCGCTTTTCCTCTTGTAGTACTCCTCCAAGACTTTCATGCACACGGTGTGAAGAAAACCGTACAATAGCAATAGCAGCAAAATTTCAAAACCAGGCAACGCCATGTAGATCTTGCAAGACTTCAGCATGTCTCAAGAATTGTTCCTTGAAATGCATCAAGTTTTTGTTTGTTCCTTGCTTCATCGCAAAGCACTTTTGGTTGGCTTCCCAGAAATCCAAGAAGTCATACTCAGCATCAGCACTCTTCTTCATGAATTGTTCAATACGTTTCAAGAGTTTGATTGGATCTTCAAGAGTAGTCGTGAAATTGGCTTCACCTTGAAGCTTGATATCCATTGCCTTTGTCACAAACTTCAGCATGACGTTTGATTTGACGGTTCTCTTGTTTGTCTCAAAGTAGGCTGATCTTCTCATGTTCTTGTCAAGCTTTGCAGAAAAGAGAATCTTGTTTTGGGCCATCTCTGTTTCTCTTGCAACAGCAATTTTCTGTCACTTGTAATGCGTGATCTGGCCACTGTAAATCCCGATTCAGCTTCATGTTTGCAACATCGCTTTTGGCATTATTGTTGAATAGTGGTCCATGTTGACCATCTGAGAAGTCAATTTCTTCTTCTTCCATTGGCTGGTGCTTCTCTTGTTCAAACACGAGTCGTTGCTTCTCTTCCTGGTTCGGAATTTGCAGTTGCCAATCTTGTCTCAGTTCAAGTTCGAAGTGTAGGCTGCGTCTCATAACATGTCTGTAGATCTTTCTGCCATCTAGTAGTCGGGGCTGCGGTTGGTGTCGCCAGTGTTGCCGTTGTGAGTGTGTGTGTGTGTGTGTGTGTGGTGTTGCTACCGGATCGAGTTGCATTGCTGGTGCTGTTGCGGTCTGGGTTTGGTGCTGTTGGTCATTTGCCAATTTTCGTATCCATCGGTAACCTTGGTCTTTAGTTTCATTGCATAGTTTCATTGCATAGTTTCTCTCCTCTGAATGGGCTTCTCTCCCCTCATGTTTGTTGTATGCTGCGTATGATTTCTTCAGCAGCCATACGTGGTCCGCGAGAATGCAGCTCAAGACCCAACACCACAAGACGATTTTCTTGACGAATACATCAATGTCTGAAAACGCTAAAGATGTTATGGAGCAGATAAGCTACAAATTCAAGTTCAAGAAGGACAAGATTGAACAGCCTGAAAGCTACCTTGGAGCGGGTGTCAAAAGAAAGGTTTTAGACGGTCAGCACATGTGGAATATGTCCAGTTATGACTATGTTACAGCTGCTGTGAAGAACGTCAAAGCAACCCTGAAAGACAATCAGAGGTGGAACTTACCAAAGAAAGCCGTCACTCCAATGAATAGCGATTATACACCAGAGCTAGATGGTTCAAGTGAGTTAAACGCACATGACCACACATACTTTCAAGAATTGATTGGGGTCTTAAGGTGGGCCACGGAGATCGGACTCGTTGATATTCTACTGGAAGTTTCTCTTTTGAGTCAATACCAGGCAGGGCCAGGGGAAGGACACATGGAACAATTGTTGCGGATTTTTGCCTACTTGGATCAACACCCAAAGATGACCCTATACTTTGATTGGAGGATCCCAAACGCAGATTTTTCTGGAGTCAAGTCATCGTACAAAGAGTTCCGTACTCTATACAGAGATGCTGAGGAACAATTGCCATCGAACATGCCAAAACCAAGAGGTAGGCGATTGGGAAGCTTGGCATACGTTGATGCCTCGCATGCAGCAAACAAGAAGACTCGTAGATCGCATACCGGCTATGCCATCTTCTTGAATAGGGCGCCTATTGTTCGGCACAGCTGGAGGCAGAATACAGTGGAGGCCAGCACTTTTGGGGCTGAATTTATTGCTTTGAAATCATGTATTGAAGCAATTGCGCACTTAAGCTACAAGTTGCGTATGTTTGGGATCCCACTGGATGAGGAACCAACACAGGCGTTAGTGGACAATGAAGCGGTTGTTAAAAACTTGTCATTGGTAGAATCTATGTTGAACAAAAAGCACAATTCAATTGCTTATCATTATGCACGTTGGAATGTGGCAGCTCGGGTGATTGCAGTTTCATGGATTGATGGCGCAATCAATATTGCAGATGCATTTACAAAGCGATTAACACAAATGAGGAGAGAAAACCTTTTTGATTCTTGGGTTTATTGAGCAACCTATGGATCACATTGATCCTTAGCTTGAGGGGACCAAATAAAGGTCACCGTGCTATTAGATACGCACGCATAGTCTGTACGCGGTAACGTACAGAATCGGTGATGGACCACACACATCATCACAACTTTCTAGATTTCCTTTTACAAACGTCTATCAACTTTCCTTTACTTTTATCATCTTCCTAGTAAGTCTATCGCTACACGACATATCATCAAATTGTCCATGTAGATTGAAATCACGTTCATCTTCATCTTTAGGTTCATAGTCCTGATCAAAGGCTTCTTCCAAGTAAACTTGTTCTGTGTCATCCACTCCTGCGATTTGATTGCCATCTTGAAATGTCTCCAAATCTCTCTTCTTATCAAAAAACTTCATGGAAGTAACACCTTTGGCAGCAGCCCAAGCTTCAACACACTGGATTACTTGGTCGGTAACAGGTAATACGACAACCTTGGGTTGGGAAATCATCTTTCCTAGTATTGAGGTTGAGCACTCGGTGCCCAGTACATTGTCCCTTTGTAGGTTCAATGTAAATCGCTTCGATACTTTGCGGTTCCATCAAATTGTTGGAATCCGTCCCAATTGCATGAACATATTGTCCAAGTTCAGCAACCATGTCACTCTTGTAGTTGATATTGACATTATCAATGAGTTGCTGCAAACTGAAATGTAATGAGATACTGTCTTTCTGGGGAAAGACATTCAATAGCTCGGGGGCTTGACGTCCAAGACATTCAGTGATCACCTTTGGGACCACTTTGTAGGGTAAGCGTGCAGGAGCTACTCTGACTCTTTCTTTCAGCGTCCTATTGTTTCGCTCAGCGGTAGGCTCGTGGTCCCCAGCTGCAGCCGGGTCAATAGTAACACCCATACCCTCTAGCATATCAACCGTTAGAGGAATGAATGCCCAATCACACTTGATTGTCTTGACTTGAAAGCCTGCCTTGTTTTAGTGGCGGAATATCTTATCCAATGCTTCAAATACAGGGTCAGTCTTCAGGTTCTGCATGCAAATACATGAGCGATAACGCACAGTGGTATCAATGCAGGTGAGAAATTTAGCATTCTTGATCTCCATGTGATCAATACAGACGGTAATAGATCGATTATGTTGATACAATTCCTCTTGTGGACTGAAGAAGTTGTCGTACGTCTTCTTTGGAGTTGGTCTTGTTGACTTGCCTTTTAATGTAGATGCCTCAGGTCCAAAGATTGCTTTGGCATGATTGATCGCTTTTCCAGTGATAGGACAGTTCTTGATGAGACCAGATTGGATCGCATACTTCAGACTTTTGGTGCTTGGAGCATTGAGTATGTGCATCGCACTTCTTGCTTCCATTGCAGCCTTGACTTGTCTTGGAGTGAATCCTTCCTTGTTCTTTCAAACAGCTGCCATCTTCGAGGTCATCCTTAGTCCAGCATATCCATTCTGTTTGTTTGAAATTTGGTTGATTATTTAAGTTGCTTAACTGACGACCGTACATCGCGCTTGTCTCTTTGGCAGCTGGTTCGACATTTGCTCCAAGTTGCTCCAACACATACACACCCTTACAATTCACAAATTGCATCTTTCTATCTCCATCACAATGCACAATAAAGGCATTGTCAGCATTAGTATCCATAGTAATGCGGTATCCCACAGTAATCATCTCGCGCATAGCAAGTACATTGGCAATTCCATCTTCATTGTGACAAATAAAGATCACCATGCTATTAGATACGCACGCATAATCTGTACGCGGTGACATACAGAATCGGTGATGGACCACACACATCATCACAACTTTCTAGATTTCCTTTTACGAACGTCTATCAACTTTCCTTTACTTTTATCATCTTCCTATTTTAAGTATATTGCTACACGACATATTTTTCATTGTTTATCATGACCCAATAGCTATGAAAGCAAAAGCTATTCAATGGAATGCATTCAAATGAACGAATTCTGAATACAAATACTGCAATATTTTTTAATATGTGCAAATAAAGGTCACCGTGCTATTAGATACGCACGCATAGTCTGTACGCGGTAACGTACAGAATCGGTGATGGGCCACACACATCATCACAATTTTCTAGATTTCCTTTTACGAACGTCTATCAACTTTCCTTTACTTTTATCATCCTCCTAGTAAGTCTATTGCTACACAACGTATTTTACATTGTTAATCACGACCCAATAGCTATGAAAGCAAAAGCTATTCAATGAAATGAATTCAAATGAACGAATTTCGAATACGAATACTGCAATATTTTTTAATATGTGCAAAGCCGATTACGATTGTGTCAATGGTGCTACATCACCGGTTTCGACCATGTAAAACTGTCAAAGGTGTAACGAATGCAACACCAATACGAACGAACTAACTAAGGAATCACTTTTATAGGCAAAATGGCCGCAGAAATTCCTGTTTTTACGATCTATGATGCCATGATTTTATGTCAAATCCCTGACACTGGGAATTTCCAAGGACAAACTGACGCTCAACGTATGGCAGAAGAGCTCTTCGACAACGATTTTAGCACTGCC